ATAGTTTACAGTTTGCCAACGAACTGCATTGCTGACAATTGTTTGCGAAACATAGATAAAGCTTAGCAGCTTTGTTTGTGATTGATAGATGAAGATTTGAAGATTAATGCTTTTTTCTTTTCTTTGGAAAGGTAGAGGGTGAATAGTGTATTTGTGACATTATTGTTCTCCCTTTAATTGAAATTGTAATGGGATGCGATTGATGAATCAGAAGCTGACCACAAACGAAAGTGTATCTATTTCGGAAAACGAAAGTGTATCTATTTCGGAAAAATAATCACAAATGGTCACATATTGGCTACATAATCCGATGAAATTGATCTATTAACAAAAATTGGGGCCTGTTATCTCCTAACAATTTACTAAAATTTGCATAGGTGGGTGAAACTCTTTTGAAAATGGTTGTTGATGAGAATGCTTTCTCAAGTCAAAGTACCGAGGCTCCAGAGGTTATAAATGCACAGGACATAAGTATAACTGGATTGGACGCTGTTGATTTAGGGCTCAAAAGAGCAAAGGCTGGTGGAGTGCTGTCCACACCAGCTGTCCGTAATTTTGCAAAACAGTTGGGTGTAAACATTGAGGATGTGATTGGAACTGGAAAAGAGGGAAGAGTGTTGAAAGAGGACGTCTTAAGTTATGCAACTAGTCAAGGCATTTTCAAAGAAAGCTCGGAATTCTCGAATGCATCTTGTGGTGAACAATATGTTCAAGATCATCAGAAATTACCCTATATTTCGCCGCCATATAAATTGGAGTTCGATAGAACTATTCAACTGAGGTACATTATAGCGCACGTAAATTTTGTTCTCTTTCTTCCATTATAATTAATTTTGAAATGGTCGACTATGGTTCTTTACTTTTGCAGGGGCTTCCAGCGTGCAATGGTTAAGTCTATGACATTAGCCGCAAAAATCCCGCATTTTTATTATGTTGATGAGATAAATTGCAATGCTTTAGTTGAGCTGAAAGCCTCTTTCCAGAATGAAAATTCTGACCCAAGTGTCAAGCATACTTTCCTGCCTTCCTTGATAAAGTCCCTATCAATGGCACTTAGCAAATATCCATTGCTGAATAGTTGCTTTAGTGAGGAATTGCAAGAGGTGACCCTCAAAGGTATATAAACATAGAAAATTTTTGTTTTGTCTTCGACAACCAAATGAAAATCATTTCTTTTCTTTTTATTCTTTTCTTTGCTCGGTAAAGGGTCGCACAACATTGGGATAGCTATGGCTACTCCACACGGCCTTGTAGTGCCGAACATAAAGAAGGTCCATACTCTCTCGATCTTGGAGGTACGGTTTTTAATTGGTTAAACTTTTGAGCTTTATTTACTTTCTTTTCATACTTGGCCTTTTCCTCTCATTTTCTTGATTGAATAAAAAAAATTAAGATTCAGTTATTCATATCATCATATGCTTCTTTTCATGGGATCCCTAAAGTTGATCGTTTTCTGTAGGACCTTATCATAATTCTTTTAATACGGTTGAGTATGCTTTCTTCTTCTCTACGAGTTCTTGATAATTGCTTAAATTTTCACAGATAACAAAGGAATTGTCACGGCTACAACAGTTGGCCTTGGCTAACAAGCTTAGCTCTGATGATATAACCGGAGGAACTTTTACCCTAAGCAATATTGGTGCAATCGGTGGGAAATTCGGCTCCCCTCTTATCAACGTTCCGGAAGTTTCAATAATCGCGATGGGAAGAATCCAGAAGGTTCCTAAATTTGATGATGACGAAAATGTGTATCCTGCATCAATCATGACAGTAAGCACCTAAAGAATCTTTTTTATACTACTAACTATATACAGTTTTACATGTATTCACATTATTAGCCTAAATATTTTGTATCCAGTTTAAACTCAATATACCGAAACATATCTCACGGGCATATTTGCAATTTTGAAGAATCGTTTATTTCTTAATAATTAGGATGATGTTGAAGGTTAACTTTACTAGTTTAACTGTTGTTAACTCAGGAAATATATTTTGCTTTTTTTCTTTTTCCCCCTTCAGGTAAATATAGGTGCTGATCATAGAGTTCTCGACGGGGCTACTGTAGCAAAGTTCTGCAATGAATGGAAGATATATATTGAAAAGCCTGAACTTATGATGCTGCACATGAGATAAAATTGCTGGTTGGGGTTGAATTGAAAATTTGCAGAAAAATGGGGACCAGTTCTTGAAGTCCCATCAGTGGGTACTTTGTAACAGGCCAAGGAATTATGCTACTAAATAATTTGTCCCTTTTTCACTGTTTCAAATACCGCAGCATACTTGCCGGGAATATCGAATACAGGTGGTCCGACCGGTTTGGTAACCCTTTAATTGCCTTTTTTGTTTTTTGTCAAAATACCGGGTTTCAAACATGAAAATAATGGTTATACCCAAAGATACTGGCTAAAATATTTGATAATAAAGATTTCTTTAAAATTTGTTCACTATTTTTGTAATTTTCTTTTTTTTTTTTTTACATAAATTTAAAGTTCTATGCTAATGTTCTTACTTGATTATAATCAAATTTTAGAATTAATTAAAGTTGGTTTGTGTTATATTAGCTTATGAAAATCTTCTATTCTTACTGCAAGTAATAAAAAAAAAAAATTATAATAGAACTAAAAATAAATTACAACTTTAAAAACGGAAAGATTATCGCTGAGGCGAGTAAACTCTTTTCTCAAGACGAATACGCTCCGTGTAGTGCTGACGGTTCAGGCGTATTGTCCCTAAAGATAGAACGACGATCTTCTTGAAATTTGTGGCACACCAGACTTACGATTTCCGACGAACTGGAACGGAGTTAAGAACTGGAAACTTAAAAATGGAATAAAATTTATCTTTTTTTTTCTTCTTTTTTATTATTTTGATAATAAATAATTTTGCTTTACTAGAATTATGAATTTCCTATTTTTCTCTGTTTTCTTTTTCAATAATTTTCTCCTATGTTCTCTGTTCTATACCTCCTTCTTCATCTGTTTAAAGTTCTATGCTAATGTTCTTACTTAATTATAATGAAATTTTAGAATTAATTAAAGTTGGTTTTTGTTATATTAGCTAATGAAAATCTTCTATTCTTACTGCAAGTAATAGAACTAAAAATAAATTACAATATTAGAAACGGAAAGATTATAGCTAAGGCGAGTAAACTTTTTTCGCAAGTCGGTGGAGAGGGCTTTATTATAGCTTCTAGTTTTCCCCTTGTGTTTTTGTGTTTTTTGTCGTTCAATTTTGTGTTTTCGGTTTTGGCCGTTGGGCCCTGTGTTGCCCGAGTAGTGAGTGAGCATTACCTTGTTGGGGTCGTTTCTCTCATTCTTCTCTTGGGAGCTTTTAGTTTTTGTAGTGTGTTTATGTCTTAGTGTGTTGCCGAGTATTATAGCATTGCTAGTTTTCGGATTTAGGCGGTCTTCGGATTTGTCCTCCCAGTTTTCTTAGTCGTTGGTTGTATTATTCAGCTAGTGGTTGGCTGTATCTTTGCACATGTGTGCGTTTATTTATAAAATCTCGGTCGTTTAAAAAAAAAAAAAATCGCAAGACAAATACGCCCGTGTAGTGCTGGCAGTTCAAACGTATCATCTCTAAACATACAACGGCAATTGTCTCGAAATTTGTGGCACACCAGACTTACGAGCTCCGGCGAACTGAAATGAAGTTAAGAACTGAGCACTTAAAAAATGGAACGAAAATTATTTATTTTCTTCTCTTTTGTTATTTTGATAACAAATAATTTTATTTCAATATTACTATGAATTTCCTATTTTGCTTTGTTTTCTTTTTCTCCAATTTTCTCCTATGCTCTCGTCATCTTTTTAACTCTACAAGCCCATATATATAGGGCTGGGCAAAAAATTCGAACCGAACCGCTGAATCGTAGATCCGAATCGAAATCGAACCGAATTTTCGGTTAACCGGGGGTCTCGGTTCGGTTACAAATACCTCAAATGAAGTATTTGCTCGGTTCGGTTCGGTTACGGTTTTAAGATTTTTTTATCCCGGTTAACCGAACCGAACCGTATATTATATTAAAATTTATAAAATATATATTATATTATATATTATATATTATAAAATATATATTTTATTA